CTAATCATCTTAACGCCTACACCTTCACTTTACCCATTCCCAAAAGTGACTATATTGCATCACATAGCTATCGACGTGGACCGCATAGAGAACACCGTTTCACAGTTACTCCATTGCTGTGTTACGTAGATGTTGCCTAGCAACGGGCGGGTTTGCAGAACCATTCCCTAGCAACGGCTGTCTGCTGGCTTCACAGTTTTTGCCTTGAGAATATATGTTACAATATACACCATGTTACAAACTGTGATGGGTTTATTTCTTTATCTGTTGTTCTAGTTATTTGGCTAAAATAGTAAATATTGAGTGCTTCTTTATGTGTGGGCTTCGTTGAACAAACGCTATCTGACGTCACAAATTTTATGTTCTACGGTTCTGTCTGGGACGGTTTGGCCCGAGTATCTGTTGACAATATTGTCGCGGGATGGTTTTGTTGGCTTCACTTGCGTTCTTTCTGGACAGTCCTGTTTCTTTCTTTTTGAAACTGGATTGCACAGCCCTGCGTGTCTAGGAAGTGGACATTTGCTTAAATGGCTGCTGCACCATAAAAACACATGAAATGGAAACTACAACCCTCCGCTTATCGCTGATTCGGTTATAAACTCCGCAGTTTGCTTATACACTGTGAGTTCCGTGAGTTTCACAGAATAAATTACCATTACAGTAAACCCTAGCTGATCCGGGTTAATTGAGGAGTCATCCGGATTAGTGAAGCAAAATGTAGCCCTAAAAGACAAGAAGAAAACTTAGAAAAAAAATGAATGTAAAATTTTAAGGTGAAAATTAATAACGACATATAACTGTAGAGTCTTTATTTAAGGACTATGAAGCGAAAGTAAATTTATTCATAGATAGAAGACTCAGAAGTTGTATTTGTTTTTGAACGTAATAATGCAGTTCTGAAGAAACTGTCGAGTTGTTTTTAAGAGACAAGTGACTCATCTGCTTTCCTAAATGTCATGTGTCTCCTGAAGTATGTACTCAACTGTGAACAGATTTTTTCTTTCATTTCCATATTTCAACTCATTTGCCTCCAAAAAACTGGATACCTGACCACCAGTTTGGGTTTCGCCAGAAACACTCCACCGTGCAACAAGTCCACAGAATTATACAAGCCATAAACAAAACGTTCGAGCACAAGCAGTACTGCAGTGGAGTATTCCTCGACA